GGCACTCAACAACAACAACAGCAAGGTCTGTGGTTCAATCACCAGCTGCTCCTCGGAAGCCCTATATAGGGTCACTGTGGGTCGGAAGCAACTTGACAGCACTTAATAACAACAAGGATGTTCTCAATGGCATTTAATAACAATAGTGATAACAAAGGACACTCTGGTAGTGCAGAAGGTTAAACGTTGGCCTTCCAACCTCACAGTTGGCAGTTCAAGCCCACCAGCTGCTCCACAGGAGACAGATACGGCTGTCTACATCTATAAAGATTGACAACCTCTGAAACCCTGTGGGGACAGTTCTACTCTGTCCTGAAGGGTCACTGTGAGGTGACCACAGTAGAGATAAGGTTGGTCCAAGAGAACATAGATATCCTACCCATAGGTGACTGCTTTGAGGAGTACACAAACACAGGCCTTATACCTGGAGGTACCTGAACTACCATCAGCTCATTAAAATGGTGGCTTTCATTGCTAAACTGCCACCAGAGCCTGTGGCCCCATGAGGACCCTGTCTCCTTCCGGGAGAGGCTGGTTTAGGTAGAGTACTCTGAGAAAGGGCTGCTGGTAGCCTCAAACTCTCTCAGCTCTTGCTTTGATGATGGGAAAGGAGGAACCAAGGGCATGGTTTCAGTGAGGAATGGGCCCACCTCTCATGACGGCATTGTGGAATGGCCGACAAGAGCTGTTTGCACGCTGAGTAACAGCAAGGTTGCTATGGCTCTGGGACAGATGTCCAGCCTCGAAGGACATCAGAGTACACCACCTCCCACTGTTCTGACCCTATCCTATCTTGGAGCCTCACCTATCTTGATGGCATCGTAGACATACTCAGGATCATGCATGAGATCACACAGCGCCATGAGAGCTTTCTGTCTGGTCCGCAGGTCCTCTGACTGCAATTCTTCATTGAGCTTGGGCAGGGCCCGGCAACCGTAGGCAATGGCAGCCTGGGTAGGGTTGATGTCAGGGGGCATGTACATGGAGATTCGGGTGTGGGCCATCTTTCCACACAGGCAGAAGGCGACTCTCTAGCTTTCAACACAAAGCGCTGCAGAAATCACTGAATAAAGAACCAGAAAGCCATCATTACCACTGCTGGGTGGTGCTATAGGATAAGCACTGTCACAGTTCGAACCCATCAGTCACTATGTGGGAGACCAATGAGGCTGGCTGCCCCCACAAATATTTATAGCCTCAGAAATCCTATACAGGGTTGCTGTGAGTCAGAATTGACTCAGTGGCAGTGAGTTGGGTTTGAGTTTTCTCATTAGATAAAGAGGCCCTGGTGGCACCGTGGGTTAACTGTTGGTCTGCTAACCAAAAGATCAGTGGTTCAAAGCCACCAGCTGCTCTGTGGGAGAAAGATGAGGCAGCCTCTTTCTGTAAAGATCTACAACCTTGAAAAACCTATGGGGGTATTCTCCTCTGTCCTATAGGGTCCTATGAAATCAACTCCACAGCAGTGGGCTTATTTTTTTCATTTGCTTTGTTTTCTCATTTGATCCTCAAAATTATCTGTGAGCACAGATGGGCAGGCATTTTTACTCCCATTTTACAGCAAGGTAAACTGAGGCTGGGAACAATTAAAGGAGTTGCCCAGGGTCACCCACCATTTTTTTTGTCAGTTTGTTATACTGTGGTAGTTTCAGTGCTGCTGTGATGCTGGAAGCTATGCCAATGGTATTTTAAATATCAACAGGGTCACCAAGGATGGACAGGTTTCAGTAGACCTTCCAGACTAAGACAGACGAGGAAGAATGAGAGGCAGACCACTTCTGAATGATTAGCCACTGAGAATATTCAGAATAGCAACAGAACATAGATACATTTAATGCTGCAAGAGGAGCCACAGGTTAGAAGGCACTCAAAATATGACTAGGGAAAGAGCTGCCTCCTCAAAGTAGAGTTGACCATAATGGCATGGATGGAGCAAAGCTTTCAGGACCTTCATTTGCTGATGGGGCACAACTCAAAATGAGGAGAAGAAGCTGTAATTATCCATTAATAATCAGAACATGGAATATAAAAAGTATGAATCTAGGGAAATAAGAAGTTGTCAAAAATGAAATGGAAGGCATAAACATCTATATCCTAGAGATTAGTGAGCTGAAATGGACTGCTATTGGCCATTTTGAATCTTAAAATCACATGATTTACTATGCCAGGAATAACAAATTGAAGAGGAATGGTGTTGTATTCATCTTCAAAAAGAGCATTTCAAAATCTATCTTGAAGTTCAATGCAGTTTGTGTTGAGATAATATCCAGGTACCTACACAGAAGACCAGAGTGTGGTGGCTCTATACAACAAGCTGGAGTCTGCGAACCACAAAGTCAGTGGGTTCAAGCCCAGTAGCAGGTCCTTTGGAGAAAGGTGAGGCTTTCTGTTCCCGCAAAGATTTATAGCCTTGGAACTCCTATACAGGGCTGCTATGAATCAGAACTGACTTGATGGCACTTAACAACAACAACAAGGAAAATTAGTTAATATCACTATTATTCAAGCTGACATACCAACTACTAAAAGCCAATGGCAGTGAAATTAAAGAATTCCACCAAGTTCTTCAGTCTGAAATTGATCACACATGCAATCAAAATGCACTGATAAATACTGGTGATTGGAATGCAAAGCTTGGAAACAAAGAGGAAGGATCAGTAGTTTGAAAATATGTCCTTGGTGATAGAAATGATAATGATCGCATGACAGAATTATGCAAGACAATTTATTCATTGCAAATAGCTTTTTTAAACAACATAAAAGGTGACTATACACATGAATCTTACCAGATGGGATACATAGGAATCAAATTGACTACATCTGATAGAAGAGACAGCCATCCAAAACAAGGTCAGCGGTAGACAGTGGAACCAATTGCTCATATGCAAGTTCAGCCTGAAGGTGAAGAAAATTAAAACAATTCCACGAGAACCAAAAATATGGCCTAAACACATTACACCTGAATTTAGAGACCATCTCAAGAACAGGTTGGATGTATTAGACACTAACGACTGAAGATGAGAAGAGTTGTGGAATGACATCAAGAGCATCATACAGGAAGAAAGCAAAAGGTCATTAAAAAGACAGAAAATACCAAAATGGATGTCAGAAGAGACTCTGAAATGTGCTCTTGAGTGTACAGAATTTAAAGCAAATGGTAGAAATGAGGAGGTAAAAGAACTAAACACAAAATTTCAAAGGGCAGCTTGAGAAGATAAAGTTAAGAATTACTAATGAAATGTGCAAAGACCTGGAGTTAGAAAGCCAAAAAGGAAGAACATGCTCAGCATGTCTCAAGCTGAAAAAACTGAAGAAAAAAAATTCAAGTCTCCACTTGAAATACTGAAGGGTCCTAGGTCTGTGTGCAAAATATTGACTTATGCAGGAAGCATCAAAAGAAGATGGAAGGATTCCACACAGTCATTGTACCAAAAATCAGTGGTTGAGGCAGACCGACTGTTACTACAAGAACAAGCAACTTGCTTGCCCAGGAAACGTCAATGCAAGTGGTTGGGTCCCCTCAGTGCAAACCCCCTTCCAAGACTAAGACTCAATGGGAATACACACTCTGATTGGTGACCATGCTCGTCACTGATAAGGGGAAGTAAGGGAAAAACA